AGGCGAGGAAGGGGATTGATGGGGATGCGGAGAGTATGTGGGTTGGGGATGTGAGACCTGGGACTGGGTTGAAGACGGCGGCGAAGTTGGCTAGGGGGTTGTGAGGGGTGGGAGTTCTGGTGTTGGGGTCTCTGTATCAGTGGATAGCGTGTTTCGTGGTATAATCTCCAGGAGTTTGTACTACGGGACATGCTATCCGCTGATACAGAGACCTCAGGCACTCATGTGTATGTCTTGAAGTCGTTGCATGCATTTAGTGATTAAACGCCATGAAGAGCAACAGATACATGACAACGAATGCTAGTGTTGTCGTTCGGATCCATAGCCATCCCCAGGCACAAATTTGCATCAAGCTCGTGCTGACCTTCTCCCAGCTAGCACGCCGGTGGCGTTAGATCCTTGTCGTGCTCATCACGAGTAAGGGGATAGACTGAGATACTCAGGTAGCCACAGCCCTCGCTTGTATGCGGAGTTCCCGCTTGTTCTGCGCTGGCGCCATTGGTGTGTGAAGGCCTTTGTTAAGCCTTGTGTGCACACGACTTGGTGGAAATTCCAACGCATTTATGCAGCTATTGTATAGCTCGTTACCTTTTGGCATTGACGGGTAAAAGAAGGCATGTCACGCGATCCATTCGAACAGACCTCGGAAGCATGAGGTTGCGAGGATGCGATGTTTATATGAGTTCTGTTTGGCATCTATGTGAGCCTTGCAGCCCGTCTCCAGAACTCACCAGCCTTGCGTCTATCGTCGTCTTGTGGCTTGCTACTGCCGTCCCAAGGTCATGGTACCGAGTGCTTTTCCCGTGAACGTCCGTGGGCGCATGCGGCGGTGACCGGCGCGAGACGAGACCACCATGGCAAACAGCAGTTAGACTTAACAACACACACTCTTTTCCGGTGTTTCCATCGATGGCCTAGATGTCGCTTTGCCAGTTAGTGTGCATTTGTCGTGGGGAAGCCTGGGCCCAGCAAGGCTGGAGAGGCTGTAGGCTCGGACCTTTTCTTTTAGTTCAGGCACGAGCCGCCCTGAGGCGCCAGCAAGCCACCAATAAAGGTAGCAATCCTCGCTTACCTCGATGTGTACACTTTCACCAGGGGAAAGAACTTAGTTTCACTTCCCTTGTGCTGCATCGGGTCGAACAACGAAGAGACGGTACCCAAGTGAGGAAGGCTTCGGCAAGACTCTCGCAGCGCACGTGGTGAAATGCCGCCGCTAACATCGCTCACGCCCGAGTCCCCAGACAATCCTCCCGAGATCTCGGATTGATCGAGCGACATCTCGTCTCCCACGAGACTGCTGAACTCCGCATTCACTCTAGTCATGGCAAGCCTAAGTACTCGTCTTACCAGATTGGGAACATCTTTTCAGCCCTGCACTTCGAGGCCAAGTCCAGCTATCGTTGGTCTGCGCTTGGCATACTCGCCTATGTACACACTCTTACCATCACGCGAGTTTAGTCCCTTGTCCAATCTGCACATTCGAACGGGCTGAAAGAATCTGGGGACGAGGCTCGTCGAACTCAGCTCACCATGATACTTCGAGACCAACGCCACAGATCTATCGCATCGGCAGCTCCGCTGGAGTGTGTTGTGAACCTCCAACATGAACAGCTATAAAGATTGTTTGTGCCCAGGTACAGAGTTACGCATCAGCAGCAATCGCCGACATCCTCTCCTCAGCCTTCTACTTCTCCCCTTCTTCTAACATGCGCTCGGTTCACGCTTTCGCGGCTTTGGCCATGACAGGCTGCGCAGCAGCTCTGCCTCAATCAATTCCTCTTGGTGAGGTCGCTGAGATACCCGCCGCGCCCATCACAGAGACTCCGCTTGGCGAGGGTGCCGGTACCAAGGTCGTTCCGTACTCTCCTGATGCTGTGGTTGCCGACACATTCGCCTCAGTCCTTGCGGACCCTGCATCTGCCGACAAGTCACTGAAGCGGAGAGGTTGGGACTGCTCAGAACAGCCTCTCGGAAAAGGACCTGTCCCAAGTCCCGACTCTCCGGAAGCTTTCCTTGCCCTGGAAGAGATCTCGAAGGCTGCTACTGATGCCTCTACCCCGGCTGGATATGTGAGCAAGTTCAAGAATTTGAAGGGCAGCAACAACGCCGTAGCATATCTTGGTTACAAGACCTTGGATACCTACGACACTCAAGCCTGTGCCGACTCTTGCACTGAGAAGGAAGGATGCTCAGCGTTCAACATCTGTAAGTGTTACCTATCTACTCCGCTAAGTGATAGCTTTTACTCACATTTCCTACAGTCTATGAGAGGGACCCTTCTCTAGTTCCTGCCGATTCATGCTCCAACCCCGCTAGCACTACAGTCATCAAGTGTGTGCTGTGGGGTAGCCCTGTGACCGCCGAAACAGCTGTCAACAGCGGACAATGGCGCGCAGATTTTCACGTAGTCATTGCTGGATCAAATGGTATGTCCATGAGTGCTTAACATGGTTGAATCGCAAAGTTCCTAACAAATTTCAGGCTATGACAGCGAGCGTGTGGTCTCCGTAGACGGCTACAGCGGCGAGTCTCTTGGAAACGTTGCGATCAACGCCCCAAATGACTGCAACGGCGACGATACTGTAAGCACTTCATAACCACCTCTTTCACACACAGCCGCTGACTCTTATCCAGTACATGGGCTACAAGCTCTTCAACGACGGCCAACCCTTCGAACCCGCCCGTTGCGCCGCAGCATGTGAAGCCGAGACTAAATGGAACGTCGAGCACCTCAACAGCCGCATGCTGTGCAAGTTCTTCAACACCTACGTCCTGATGAAGAACGGCGAGCCCCAAGGCCAATACTGCTCCATGTACACCCAGAAATGGGCGAAGAGCGTGGCTGTCAACGATGGCCAGTACCGTGGAGACGACCACTACACCATTGCTTCCAGCTACTCCTACTCCAACACTGCCGATCCTGGAAAGCCCAAGCTGCCCTGCGATGTCGCTGCCGCAAAGTCTGCCATCATTGCTTCGTCGCTACAGCCGTTCTGCTCTACTCTTCTTGGATACACGACGCAGGTTTCGACTGTGATCGCCACTGTGACTGCCACTGTTCCCGCTACGACTGTTGTTATCACCGATGCGCCCGTGACCACGACTACCACAACGGTCACTCAATCGCCCCAGAAGCGCGATGTTGCTGTTCAGGACACGCCTGCTCCTCTTGCCGACTTTGCTCCCAGTGCTGTCTCTGCAGCCTGCAGCCTCCAAGCTACCCCCGTCACAGAAACCACTACCACGTCTACTACGACCACTGCGACCGTCAGCTCCGGTACTGTACTAGTGACTACCACTCTGCCTGTCCGCACTACCATTGTCACCTCGGTAGTTGCTGCTGCGCCGACATGCACTGCTCGTGGCGTCAATCTCGTCAACAATCCCGGCTTCGAGTATGGCATGGCAGCTTGGTCTCAGTCCCAGTACGGCGCCAACGGACCAATCGCATGGGGAGTGGGCCCTGGCGGCCCAAGCGGTGGTTCTTCCTACAGCGTGACAGGAGGCAATTCAGGCACCGGCACTCTTCTGAACCAAAAAATTTACGGCCTGACCAGGGGCGTTACATACACCTTCTCGTACAAATACTTCGCCACGGCCTCCCCAGCTGGCTCTATCAGCTGCTATATGATCGGCACAGGACTGAGCTCGCAGAGCGGCACCGAACGTACCAACTCGTGGATCTCAGGACCAACCTACTATGGAGGTACTTTTGTGGCCCAGTCGACCTTTGGGGAGTTGGAGTGCTTGTTCAATTCGCGCGGTGCGATGACTTGGCGCATTGATGATTTCTTTTTGGGGTGCTAGAGAAGTAATAGAGTACCGACAGGGAGCTTAGAAGGGCTGGAAAGCCTAGGTACAATCCTTAAACCTTGATTCATTTCTTGATATCAATCCGTTGCAATCCTTCTTCAGAGCTTTTTGAGTATAACCGATGTGATGAATGTGGCAGCACAACAGTATAAGCACAGCACAGAGTGGAAAACATGTACATAATAATTGCAAAATAAATACATTTCTGACCACCTTCTTCACTAGTCCCGTGTTCTTCATTCCTTATCTTTTGATCCTACTTCGCTTCCCCATATCGAACTACGCGCTGATATATGTGAGAATCATCTAAAGCTATTGCAAGCCCTCCACACTGAACTTCGTAGCAAAGACATGAATACAAATTTCATCACCTACATCGACATGTACGATTTTAGCCGAATACCGCAATTCGGACGATGCCATCGTACACAAGACCTCGGTACATGCCAGCGCGCATAAAGCTATCGACAAGAGTCTAGTAGAAGAGCGGGAAAATATCGTGCACAACTTGCTTAAGAACTTTCGCCGAGGAGAAGGTTATCCAGACTAGTGCGATTATGACCTGGGAGCTAGGTGACTAGTGTCAAGCATGTTGGCGTTCGAAATATGTCAATTGAGAAAGTTCGATGATGACTAGACAGTGATAAGGCTTGCAGAAGTTCTGTAAGCAGACTATCTGGCGAGGCGCGCAGGGGCACACGTTCGACAAGCTGCAACAATTACGTCTTCTCTCAAGAGACGATATCTTGTAAGGATGAAGATGTTCATGATGGGGCACATGGAAGCATATGTTGTACAGTCGCGGCACTAGCGGAGACGGAGTAATGATAGTTGGTGGCATGAGAAACAAAGGGTGGAATTTAATATGGATCTATCTATGTAGTAAGACTGAAACTTTTGCGCAGTATCTGCAGTACCATTCTTGATACAAAGAACGGACGGTGAAAGAAGATGTAAGATGATAACGGATACAAAGAAGTGAGCGAATATTATAAGGTGATATGAAACGTTCGACCAAATTCTTATCCTGTTTGAGCCAAGAGAGGATCAAGGGTAGCGGCCGTGATGGTATGTGGCCGTTTCGTCGTCAATGTATGTCTATATTCGAATGCCGCGCCTCTGAGGTTGGAGAAGTGTGTGTCGTACAGGACGCTGTTGCTAGCGAGCGCATAACGCGTATCACGTGATTACGCATATGCCGATTCGGTCCCCGCTTGTTCATGTGTCCATGGCTGAGGTCGCTCCACCATCATACCTGGATATGGCCGGGGAGATTGCTCTGGCGTAGGCAGCATCGGCCCAGTAGGGATCGGTGGGCGAGGAGGTGACTTAGCAAAGAACTGCTCGAGCGTCTCGCCTCTCTCCAGAGCCTGGACCTGACCTTGTCGAAACTCTTCCAGTACGGCTGATTCAACAGGTTTCGGATCGAAGTAAGTGTATGTTCTCGTTCCTTTGAGACCCGGAAGACCAGGCGCCTTGTACTCCGCGACGCCGTCCTCGTATGTCTCATATGTAGAGACAAGACGCTTGCCACCACCTCCAGGGAGGTCGATGACGAAGGACGGCATCATGAAGCCGGATAGAGTTCCTCGGAGTTCCTTGTCGAGGTCGATGATTTTGCTGAGAGGTGTTCGGAGATCTTCGATGCCCTGTACCATATCGCATTGATAGACGTAGTACGGTTGTATGTTGATGTTTGAGAGCTTCTTGATGAGGTCTGATAGCGGTCCAAAATCATCGTTGACGCCCTTCAGTAGAACAGACTGGTTGCGCACAATGACACCATGCTTGAAAAGCTTGTTCGCGGCCAGCTCCGTTATCCACGTGATCTCGTTGGCATGGTTGATGTGGGTATGAAGGCAGACTTGCTTGCCCATGCTGAAAGTTGCGCAGTTATATTAGCCTCATTACACATAGGCAGATAGACGAATGACTTACTCTCGACCTTTGTTAGATACTTCAATCAAGCTGTCGACCCATGGATCACTATCATCAAGTATGCGACCAGGAGCTACGGCCAGCCCCTTCGAAGCAAATCGGACCCGTTTGATGTGCGGAATATTGAGTAGTCTCTCGCCAATCTCTTTGATGTGATCGGGCTGCAAAAAGTAGGCGTCACCGCCGGAAACAACAATGTCTTCGAGCGACTCATCGTTGGCGATATGGTCGAAGATGACTTCCCATCGCTTGCGACTGGGCTTTTGTGGTTTCTTCGATACGGTATCGGTGTTTCCTCCGACTGCGTAGGAGCGCGTACAGAAGCGACAGTAGACAGGGCAGATCGATGTGGCCAGGAACAAAGCTCTCCCAGGATAACGGTGGACTAATCCAGGGACGGGACTGTCTGCTTCTTCGTGCAAAGAGTCCAGCTCCATGTTCTTGTGATCGGGGATGATGCCGCTTCTAAGTGGGAGAAATTGTCGCCGGATAGGATCATCCACGGCGTTTTGCCAATCAATAAGCGAGAGTACGTGTGGTGTTAGGCGGATAGCCATGGGTGCCAGCTTGATAGCAGCGATCTGTGTCCGTGTCAGCATCAACATGTGTATAGGGTGGTGCGAGCTGATGAGTTACGCACAGCATCCTCGATGAAATCGTTCTTCGTACGAATCTTCCGGAGTTGATCATGCTGCGAGCGCAGTAGTTTGTCGGGCAAAGCCGTATTGAGGAACTGATAAAGCTTGTGCTTATCGGAGACGGTATTGCGAAGCTAAGAAAGTCAGTCTTGTATCTAATCGTGTATTGTGGGGATCCAAAGAAATTTGTACCGACGTACCTGCCATCTGTAAGATATGAATTCCTCGTTGGAGACGCCCTTCCATGGTTGGATATGATCCCAGTAGGGCTTCTGAGCGGCCAAGGTCGATTGGGTTCTATGATGCGATAGTAGACGTGCAGCGTGAGTGAGGCCCGACCGGAAAGATTGTCTCCCAGCCATGGTGCCCGGAACAAACATGCTTGGATACATGTCAGTAGGTGAATGCCACAAGAAGGAGCGATGTGGAAAGAAGGGCTGGGACGAAACCAAAGCTAGAAATAAATTTTCAAGAGTAGGGAACGTGTTTATCGAGCGCGTCACACCCGTTGCACAACCCGATGGAAGGAGCTGTCGCTCGCCTTGTCGTCTAGGTAGGAGCGATATAGATGCTGTGCTACGACAGCAGCAAGAGCGACCGCTAAAGTGGGTCTGTTGCAGTCTCGAAGAATTGGGCAGGCACGCTCGACTACCGCCAAGTTCAATTCGTTATCGGATGCAGGAGATCTCTAGGATGTGTTTGGGCCTGGAGTTTGCTGAGGGCCATCCTTCATGACCTGTTCGGGTGCAGCGCTACAGCGATTTAACGAATTCGGTGACATGTGGATGAGGAGAAGTAACTGGCCATGGTCCGCATGGTGTGTATAGGGGTTATAGTGACGGACACGCCCAGTGGAGAAAACATAGCACGGCGCCAGCTCCAGAAAAATGGTGAAATGGCACTGGCAGGGCATTCGTATCACAATATCGCTTGATACAGATTTCCCATGCGGCGGCCATCAGGGGTCCCAAGATCAATCAGATAAGTTTGAGTAATAGCTGGTGGGCAGGCGAGGATGCGTATCGAAAAGGGGCTTACGAAGCACAGTAGTCCATCCTGTACTGGCTGGAACTGGGGACCGACATGCAAGAAAACCGCAGGTCTACAAGGATCGCTCTCATATTTCCTCCCATGGGCCCGATCCTCGGGTCAAGCCAGAGGCCCGGAAGCTGCAAGCGGCATGCATGTTAGTGGTACAGCAGGCGAAGACTGCATTAGCTTTCCTCGTATGTTGAGTGGACATAGAACTTGCATCCGCGGAATCCTTTGGGCTGCCATGTTCGTAAGAAAGTCGTAAGCTCAAGCGACTCCACCAGAGGCAGGAGTGCTGGCCAGCCTAATCGGTCAAAGATGACCGGCAAATGGACATCACACGGCCCGTACCGCGCGTGTGACGGGCGATAGTGACCCAGGCTGTCGGGATGGCAAACTTCGCAATGGTGTTGCGATCGAGTGAGAGGTTAGCAAACGTCGGGAGTGGCAAGGAGACGCTCGGCATGTCGCCGTTCATGTGAAGAGGTGCAGATAGTGCCAGTGCTAGCGGGGAGATTCCGACGTTCCGTCGCGCCTTCCGCTAGTTTCGCGCCAAGCCATGACCTCAGCCCCTCCAAACAATAGTGAGCGCTGCGATCACGATTGATAACTACCGCGACAGCTCAACTCTCTACATCACCCCACCGCTGCCATGGCTGATTCTCCCGCTTCCGCGACTAGCGCGCTGCCCGGCGAGTCGCCCGCCCAAACCAAGGCCAGACTGCGCAGAGAGCGGCTGGCTGCCAAATCCGGCGCCTCACGTCTCCAGCAGATTACTGCTCTCCAGGGCGGCCCACCAAAGCCGCTCAGCGAACTCGAGAAAGACGTGCCAGGTAACGGCTCCTCCCTTTCGAATACATTAGCCTCCACATAGTCCCCCCCTAGCTCCGTCCTACAACAGCGTGAATGCACGGCTAATGGCATTCTAGTCAAACCCGCTTCCACCCCGTCCCAGTTTACACCCGCTGGGTCTGGCACGGCTACTCCAGATCCAGATGAGGTGGATATTTCGCAACACCACTACGCGCCGGCATCGCAGCCTCGTCTCCCCTCGCCATTCGCTTTCGAGGGTGGACAGCCCGGCCCATTCGGCCCCGGCCCAGGCACGGATGCGTCGCAGGATCCCATGATGGCCATGCTCCAGCAGATGATGGGCGCAGGCGCTGGCGGTATGCCTGGCATACCCGGTGCCCCAGGTCAAGCTGGCGCACCACCAGGCGGCATGCCACCCGATCTCGCCAGTATGTTCTCGGCCATGCAGGGCGGTGCCGGTGCCTCTGAGCCGCTGCCAGAGCAATCCTCGGCGTGGATCTGGCGCTTAGTACACTCTGTCTTCTCGTTTGGCCTCGCCGTCTACATTGTCCTGCAAACACCGTTTACTGGATCCAAGATGTCACGCGATAATGTGCTGGAAGATGACTGGGTCAGCCAGTCGACCCCAGCGCAGAACTTTGCGCACTTCTTTTACCTCTTCGCGACTTTCGAGGTGGTCTTGCAGTCCTCGCGCTATTTCATCGAACAGGGCCAATTACAGGGAAGTGGCATTCTCAGCACGGTCGCTGGCATCCTACCAGCACCGTATTCGGGCTATGTGAGGACTGTGGGCAGGTACAGCGTCATCTACAAAACAGTTGTGAGCGACGCTATGGTGATAGTATTCGTCTTAGGCGCCACGAGCTGGTGGAGAGGTGCCGCTGCTGCATGAAGCGCTGCGATTTCTGGCATAAGTAGAATAATGGTATGACAGGCATCCTTGTACCCGCTTCCTCTTTGATGCAGAGCTCCACTCAGTATTACCTAGGTGTGCTGTAACTCCCAAACAGCCAGTTAATATCTCGGCTCGATACCACAGTCTGGGACAGACAAATGTCGCACCCATCTCAGTGTCCACGTGTGGGCAGGTTTTACGCGCACTATATCTCTGTACTTGCTCACCTCGGGCGACATCGCAACCTCATCGACCACCGCCACTATTGCTTCCGCCTAGTGCATGCACGTCATACCTTGTTACACGCTCCACGAACCACTAATGCATCAAATTCCTCCCCATACAAGGTAAACAGTTACACTGCGCAAGCTCTATGCACATCATTCCTCTGCGCTGCACGGAAGCTATGATTATTTTGATATCACGAGACCTGTAGATCTTTCCCAGGCGCGCGGAATTCCATCAATCATGCGCACATGGCAGCTAGCATTTGTTGGGCAGCCAGGGCCCGTCCTGCGGCTGCCAGCAGGAGTCCCTGGACAACACGCGTCGCTCAACAGCAAGACGCACTCGACATTTTCGTTTGTTCTCGCCTCCGGTGAATAGCGCACCCGTACACGCGTTACAGTTAAACCGCCATAGCCGTCCTGCGTACGTTTCACCGCCATGTTCGGCGAAAATTCCCGAATCTTGCAAATTGCCTTTGTGCATCATGCAATTTCGTCTCGAATTCCCATCACCACACGCTCCTGACCGGATGCGAGCTTCACGACCGTTGCTCCAGAGCTCTCGGGTATGCATACGAGTCATGTTCGAGACGTGGCGTCACCTTGCCCTTTCAGTTGATTCCACCGCGTTGGTCGACAGGGTCGCACGCAGCGCCATGCCCAAGGCCCCTTTACAGCAACTTGAGGTGCCCAGTAACCTGATCTATGACGCCCTTGGGTGCAGGACCGATACCCAGTACTGTCGCACTTCCACTCGCGATTTGTGTCCGTCCCGCATCGTGGATAATGTGTGCCACCAATCCTAAGCTCAGTGCCTGCGCCTGCAACAACTCTAACTCTTCTTCGCTCTTGACTTGTAATGCCACCTTGGCTTGTCCCATTCGCTCCCAGCGCTTTAGCAACGTCGATTCCGGTGCGTGTCGGAGGAAGTGCTTGTAGCAGGCTAATGTCGCGTGTCCGCATTGTGCGCCAATCTTGCCTGTTGTATGGTTAGACATTTTGCAGATAATATAGATGTGTCAAGAATCGCAATACCTTTTGTCATGCCGAGATCTGTTCGTACTACCAATACCATCTTGCACTCCTCGTTGTGACCTGGGAACTCTGCAGGCGCACTGTCGTCGTCTTCATCGCTCGACTCGTCCTCTGAATCTTCTGAGTCTTCTGCCTTTTCTTTCTTCTCGGATTTCTTTGGTTGAGAGATTGGGCTGCCTCCGAGGAAACCAAGTGACTTTGCTTGTCCGATCATGTAGCCTGTTACACCAGCGAGTATGGCGCATGCGGCTGCGATGTTTGCAGTAGAGGGTTGCTGGGGAGTGTCTGCCATGTGCGCGGTTGGACGTGGGATACAATGTATGAAGAACAGTAATTTCACAACAGAAGAATTTCGGGTACTAGTGATTTATGAGAAAGAATTCAGGCGATTGGGAGAGTCATGAAGTTCCATGGCACTCCCGCCCGCAATTGTAGAGCTAGACGTCAGGCTGAGGGTCCGTGCTGGCAGCATCTCGAATTTGCGGACTACCGAGCACAGCGCCCACTCCATCACGACGGCACCACCGCTGTCTCGAACCTCTCTTACAATGCACGCCCGAACTCAATTAATATCTGGGCGCACCGCAGCCCAGGGATTGGCCCTTCGCCCGGCCCAGTCAACCTGCCGAACGTACGCGACGACGGCGCCCACGCCCGCAGTGAAGAACCCACTACAGCGACGACGCGGCGGTGATCTCGGCTCCCATCTTCCCATGAACATCATCCCGAAAGATGCATACATCCCCCCATACCCCTATGGCGCCCATCAGCTGTTCAAGCAGGCCAACAAGGGTCTATACGGCGACCAGATGATACGCTTTGGCAACAATGTCTCCAAAGACACCGAAACGAAGACACGGCGCAACTGGAAGCCCAATGTGCTCTCCAAAAGCCTATACTCGGTCGCACTGAAGAAGAAGATAAAGCTGCGCATCACCGCCAAGGTTCTCAAGACCATGGACCGTGAGGGCGGGCTGGATGAGTACCTGCTCAAGGACAATGTAGCACGCATCAAAGAGCTCGGACCTATGGGATGGGCGCTACGATGGACATTGATGCAGAAGCCGGAAGTCATCGATCGGTTACGGGCAGAAGCTGCGGCTCTTGGCATAGACCAGGCCACCATCGACAAGCAATGGCCTACACCCCAAATGATCGCCGAGAACAAAGCTGCCCACGGTACGCTCTCCGAAAACATGCCCGACGGTGCACTCGAGAGCCTAGAGTTCACGGAGACGGAGGACCAAGAGATGTGGTCCGGAGAGGAAGTCAAAGACGTAACCGACCCAAAGAAAAAAGGCCCAAGAGCGTACAAAGTGCGAGCCGATGCCGCCCTCGAGTACACCAAAGCAGTCAAGGCTGCAGAGCGTTACGTATC